CCGGCAGCCTGCGGGCTCCTTCAGAGGGGTGCGCTCCGGGCTGGGAGCTCGCTGCCGGCTCCTTCTCCCGCGCTCTGCGCGCTCCCTTCTTCCCTCGCACCTCGCCTCTTCTTCCTCTCGATTTCTCCTCACCCTTCCTGCTCGCTCTCTGCTTGCCTTTCCTGGCTCTTTTCCGTCTCCCCAGCCCCTCTCTCCCTCTCGCGCTGTCCTTTCCCTCTTTGCCTTTTTCGTTCTCTGCCTTTCCCCCCTTCCCTCTCCTTCCTTTTCCCTCTCCCGCTCTCCTTTCCTTCCCCGTTCCCTCCCTCTCCTCTCCTCTTCCCTGCCCGCTATCCTGTTTCCCACTCCTCTGCCCCCTTCCTTCTCTCCTCCTCGTCCCGCCTCCCTCTCTGGTCCCCAGCTTCCCTCCGCTTTCCTCTTCCCTCGGGAGCTAACGGACTGTCAGGTGTGCGTCTGCTCTGGGGGAGGAGGGGCCACAGCTACCAGAGGGGTCCCCCCCCCCCAGGAGGAGAGGGAGGAGAGCAGTGAGAAGGGTCCTCTCTCCAGCTCGCTTCCCGCAGCCCCTCCCTACTTCCACCGCTCCCGGCTGCTCTCTCTCCCAGGATGAAGTTCCCAAGGCCTGGTCTGACACCCCCCAGCAGCTGAGGGCTGCCCCTGCCTGCCCACAGCACATGCTGAAAGCCCCTCGGCCCTGGGTGACCTAGTCCCAAGCCTAGTACCTATGACTCCTCTCAGCCTTTCAGATACCCAGGCTGCCTCCCTGATCTCTGTCATTTTTCTCTCACCCAGCCATTTCTCTCTGCCGGACAGTCCCTGAGTCTTGGTCTAGCCCTCAGTCCTGCTGTGTCTCTGGCTTCTGGGTCAGCCTCAGCCCAGTCACCTCACCCTACCCCCCACCCTGTCCCCTCTTCCTCCGGCTCTGGGTTCCCACTCTCTCTCATGAGCCCAGTCGTCCCTCAAGGACTGCAGCTGGCAGTGTGGGCTGGGGGCAGGGTCTGGAGAGGTGGGGCTCCCCTTGGGAGGGAGGGACTTTCACAGGCTCTCAACCCTGTGTTAGGCTGCACTCCTGGTGAGCTCTTAGCCCGACCCTGGACACCTTCAGACCACACCTTCATGAGTCCCAACCCCTTAATGGTAGCCCCACCTCCTCCGGTCCTCTGGCTACATGCCCAATTTGGGGGACAGGGGTCAGATTTGGGATCCCAAGCCCTCCCAGCATCCCCTCTCCTGCTTTCCTCATCAGCTTCTCTACTCAGAGTTGACTGACTAGAGATTGATCAGCGTGGAGGGCTGGAGGTGAATATAGGCAGAGCCTGGGTGGAGGGTAGGATCAGACTGTCTGCTGTGTGTCTCAGTCTGAGTTCTGGGAAGTGGGGTATCTGGTTCCTTGGAGGCCTGGTCCTCAGCATCTGATTTTGGGGGGAGTACGATTAAGGGTTTCCTTGACCCTGAGCAGCTACCTGTCCTGCAGGTGTGGATCCATGGGGTAGCCCCAACGCATCTGCCCCTCCGCCCCAAGCCAGCTCATGGGCCACCTGGCCCAGCCCAGCCTCAGCACCCAGGGCCAGTGAACAGAGCCCTGGCTGAAACCCAAACATGTGGGGCCTGGTGAGGCTCCTGCTGGCCTGGCTGGGTGGCTGGGGCTGCATGGGGCGTCTGGCGGCCCCTGTCCGGGCCTGGGCAGGGTCCCGGGGACACCCAGGGCCTGCACTGCTGCGGACCCGAAGGAGCTGGGTCTGGAACCAGTTCTTTGTCATTGAGGAGTATGCCGGTCCAGAGCCCGTCCTCATTGGCAAGGTAAGGATGAGCCCCTCCCATGTCTACTCTGACTCAAGGCCCTTAGGCCCTGCCCTCCAACTTCCTCACTTCTGCAATGACCTTGGTCCCTCAGGACTCCCAGCATTCTGCCCAAACCTAGACTCTTTAACCCTCCATCTCTCTGCACTTGGAGCCCTCTGCTATCTTTCCCTGGCCCCTACAGCTGCACTCGGATGTTGATCGGGGAGAGGGCCGCACCAAGTACCTGTTGACCGGGGAGGGGGCAGGCACCGTGTTTGTGATTGACGAGACCACAGGCAATATCCATGTCACCAAGAGCCTGGACCGGGAGGAGAAGGCACAGTATGTGCTACTGGCTCAAGCCGTGGACCGAGCTTCCAACCGGCCCCTGGAACCCCCGTCAGAGTTTATCATCAAAGTGCAAGACATCAACGACAATCCACCCATTTTCCCCCTCGGGCCCTACCACGCCACCGTGCCGGAGATGTCCAATGTCGGTGAGCACCCCGGCTCTGAATGTCCCTGTTCCCATCTCCTGGGGCTCCCTCACCTCTCCCTCCCTTACTGACGTCTACCTCAGAGCCCACCTCCTTCGTTTGAGCCTCCCTCATGTCTGGGTCCCCCTCAGCTGCCGTCCTTCCCCATCTGGCCCTGCCGCTGCTGAGCGAGGTGCTGGGATCCTTCACAGGGACGTCAGTGATCCAGGTGACTGCTCACGATGCCGATGACCCCAGCTACGGGAACAGTGCCAAGCTGGTGTACACCATTCTGGATGGACTGCCTTTCTTCTCTGTGGACCCCCAGACTGGTGAGGTTGGCGCTCAGGAGTCCGGTGGGGCAGCCAGGGCAAGAGACACCCCCTGACCCAGCGTCTCTCCCCAGGAGTGGTGCGTACAGCCATCCCCAACATGGACCGGGAGACACAGGAGGAGTTCTTGGTGGTGATCCAGGCCAAGGACATGGGTGGCCACATGGGGGGGCTGTCGGGCAGCACTACAGTGACCGTCACCCTCAGCGATGTCAACGACAACCCCCCCAAGTTCCCTCAGAGTAAGGAGCTGCGGGTGCTGCCCCCCGAACTAGCCTTTGACACCCCGCCCCTGCAGCCTCTGGAAGAGCCTTCCCTCCCCACCCTCGCCCCAGTCAGACCCTGGAAGGAGCAAGTGCTGGGTGCAGGGAGGAGGGCAGGGAACCTCTCTAAGAACATGTCTCCCCTCCATCCACCCTAAGACCTGTACCAGTTCTCTGTGGTGGAGACAGCTGGGCCCGGCACGCTGGTGGGCCGACTCCGGGCTCAGGACCCAGACCTGGGGGACAACGCTCTCATGGCATACAGCATCCTGGATGGGGAGGGGTCCGAGGCCTTCAGCATCAGCACGGACTCCCAGGGTCGAGATGGGCTTCTCACAGTCCGCAAGGTTAGCCTCCTGCCTGTTAGCATTTACAGACTCACTAAATCTGCCTCCCACCCCACCCACTGGGCACATTTCTAATTGTTCTCCCAGAACAGACTCAGGCCCCGTCTGCTGGAGCTTAGAGATCAGGATCACCTCCTCATCTGTCAGATGAGGCTTTAGGACCTGGAAAGGGTACGTGACTGGCTCAAGGTCATGTAACAAGTCTGTGCTGGAGCTGGGGGCAGATCTAGAGTTCCTAAGTAATCTGCCATGCATCCTGACCTCCGAGGCCACGGCCCCTCCAGTGCCACCTCTCCTCACAGGCGGACTGAGCACTACCCACCTATGGGAAGGGACTCTTCACCTTCCAAGAGCCTGGTCCTGCCTGGGTTTCCACATGCGTTGCCCACGCTCTGTCTCCCCTCACCATAGCCCCTAGACTTTGAGACCCGTCGTTCCTACTCCTTCCGTGTGGAGGCCACCAACACGCTCATTGACCCAGCCTACCTGCGGCGAGGGCCCTTCAAGGATGTGGCCTCGGTGCACGTGGCTGTGCAGGATGCCCCAGAGCCACCTGCCTTCACCCAGGCTGCCTACCACCTGGTGGTGCCCGAGAACAAGGCTCCCGGGACCCTAGTGGGTCAGATCTCAGCCGCTGACCTGGACTCCCCCGCCAGCCCAATCAGGTGAGCTGGGGTGTGGGCTGGGGAGTGGCGGGCCTCCCGGAAGGAGCCAGGTGGCAGGCTGTTCCCAACCGAAGAATGTAAATGTGCCCCCTTTACTTTGCCACAGATCACACCGCCTTGGCCGGGGTCTCCCTCCCTGCAGCCAGGCTCGCTGGTCTGCAGCCCTGGATGGCAGGGAGGGGCTGGAGGACCTGGCTAACCACTTCCCAGCTCTCTATCCATTCCTCTGGGTAGATAATGGTGGCACCTCCCAGTGGTAGTACAAGCAGATGTAATCTCACCTGATAAGTGGATCTCTACTGATCACTCCCTAAGTGCCTCACATTTTACCTACTGGTGACATTTAATTCTCACCACAGCCCTGTGAAGTAGGTGTTAGCATCACCAGTTGTCTTAGAGACAAGCCATGAGTGGTCACACAGTTAGCAAGTGGCAGAGCAGCTACTCTCTCCCTGTCCCTGGCCAGCATCCCTGTCACAGCTCTGTGAGGGAGATGCTGGTGTCATTCGCATTTTGCAGTTGAGTAAACAGAAGTTAAACGATTTGCCCCAGGTCACCCAGCCGGCTCAAGGTCCCTCGATCCCCAGAACCGGGCCCGATCCCCGAAACCGGGCCTGATCCCCAGAACTGGGCCCAGAAGTCTGAAAGGCAGGGAGTGTTTATCCTGTTTCCACTTTATTCTGCATCTTCACCCCCACCCGTGACACCCAGTTGCCCTGCGTCTGAGGACAGGTGTTAAATGGTGGTGACCTTCCAGGAATATCTGCCTTTTAGGGGGACTCCAACAGGAATTATGGCTCTGCCCAGAGGAGCTACCAGGCCTACATGAACAGAGGGTGGGGGAGGGAGCAGGCTCTGGCCCTGCCCCCAGATCAGCCCCCAGCATGGCGGCGCCATCTTGCCTAGGTACTCAATCCTCCCTCACTCGGACCCAGAGCGTTGCTTCTCTATCGAGCCCGAAGAAGGTACCATCCACACAGCGGCGCCTCTGGATCGTGAGGCTCGTGTCTGGCACAACCTCACGGTGCTGGCCACGGAGCTTGGTGAGGAGTCCTGGGCCCACGAGGCAGCAGCAGCCTCCCGGCTGAGGGGCTGTCCCTGAACGTGGGGTGGGAAGGGCGCTCACTGCCGTCACACCCTCCCCAGCGTGCAGCTGCTGAGCCCTCACCTAGGTGCTCATCACCAGGTCGGCCTCCTTGGGCCGGGCACACTGGGTCTGCCTGAGCATTCTCCTGACCTCTGATTCGCTCCCTTACCTGACTTGTGCCAACCCAGAAATAAACCAGACCTTAACTAGCTCCCAGCCTGTGTGCTAGCAGCCCCTGCCCTGCCCACTCTCTGCTGTAGGCTGGAGCCAGGAGCCAGAAAGGGGCTGGGCATCTCCTCTGGGGCTAAGTGGGAGTGCACCCACAGCCTCTCCTGAGAAAGCCCTGTTGGGAGCTCTGCAGGGGCCCCTTCAAGGTAAGGGAGGGATGTTGCCTCCACGCGTGGGCTCCTCTCCTGCCGCATCAGCACGGTTCAGCCTCCTCTGGGCAACCCTGGCCCACGGAGACAGGGAGACCTCTCTCCTTTCTGTGAATAGGCCCTTGTCACCCCTGCTCACACCCTAGGGGCTCCTGCACCCTGCTGTCTTCTTACTATGTGTGAAAGTTGTCCTTGCATATGTGGACATCTGTATATGTCAGTGAAGAGCTGTATGTCTGTGAACCTGTGGGTATGTGCTCAGGTGTATGTTTAACTCCATCTGTGGGAAAAGTATATATACACACACCTATGTCCTTGTGAGTTATGTCTATAACTGGATGTATATGTTTTTACAGTTGTGTGTATAAAATTATATGTGTATTACTTGTGCATATGTGTGATTGGGTATGTATAGTGGTATCTGCAAGTGGTGTTTGTATGTGTTGTGCCTACATGGGTGTTTGTGGACAGATAATAATGTATTACTTATTGTGTACCAGGCACTATTTTAAGTGCCAAAAATGGATTAATTGATGTCATCATCACCACAACTTTATGAGGGAGGTACAATTGTGTCCCCATTTTAAAACAAGGAAACTCAAGCGGAGAGAAGTTAAGCAGCTTCCCAAGGTCACACAGAGATTAAGTGGTAGAGCCATCAGACCCAGTCAGTCTGCAGTGTCCAAGCTGTTATCTCCATGCTGCCTCTCACATGTGTTGAATGGGATGTGTCTAGGTTTATGTTTCTGTATATGCAACTGGCAGGCATGTGTATGTGTAGTTATACGGATGTTTGTGTGGATGGCCGTGGGTGTGCGTGTGTGTGCACGCACGCACGCATGCATACACACAGTGTTTATGGCTGCTTGTATATATATAGTGTGCATACATGTGTCTTCCCTGTCTTCTCACCTTCCTGCCAAATCCTGCTTCTGTTCCCACCCTGATATCAACTAGCAGCCCTGGACCCTTACTGCAGGGAAGGGGTAGACCTGATCTTGTCTTTGGGCTACCCCAAGCCTTTTAGCCAGGCAGTCCATCAGGTTCCTCTGCACATGCTGTGACCTTAGCTCCTTACTCAGGGCCAGCCAGCTCTCTCCCTACCTAGGAGACAGACTAAAGGAACTGGGAGACTCAGCCTAGGAGAGGGGACAGGGATACACACTTCACGTTCTCTCTTGGATGGCACTGACAGTGAGAAGCGAGGGAGGGTAATGGTGGGAGTCGCCTGGTGAAGGGTGGGTGAAGATGGAGCCTGCGTCGGGCTGTGGTGCCCAGACTGGCCTGGGCTTTGCACTGTGTAGATCATATAGCTCCTCCCTCCCCAAGGTCAACTCTAAAGTGATAGAGTTGCTGCACTACAGCCTCCCAGACTTCTGATGGGGTTTGTGTGTGTGTGTGTGTGTGTGTGTGTGTGTGTGTGTGTGTGTGTTTATGTGTATGCATGTCTATCCTACTGGTGCTGTGTGTGGACTCTGCATGAAAATGCATTCTGTGGGCCCTGGGTGATGGGGGTATGACACTGCATTCACCGTGCATATCAAACATCTGTGTCATGTATGTTGTATTTGTTTAAAACGCTGAGTGTGCATCGGATATATGGTATGAATATGTTTGTATATTCACGGCTGTGTGCACCCTGTCTTTCACTAATGCTGCACGTGCCCTGCACGTGGATTATTGTGTATGTGTGTCATTGGTGCTGCATTCCTACTGAATGTCTGCCGTGTATTTACTGCACATATCTTGGCTGCTGTGTAAATATCCATATGCTCTTGGTGATGTTCCATTCATTTCACAACACTGTTTGCTACTTGTACGTGACCTGTGTATTTCATGTGTTGCATGTGTATGCTACATGCTGCACATGGCTTCCACATCCACACGTTGTGTATATTGCGTGTAAACTGTGTGGCGTGTGGGTGTGGTATGTGTTGGTGTTCTGGCTTCAGACAGCTCTGCACAGGCCTCACGTGTGCAAGTAGCCATCCAGACCCTGGATGAGAATGACAACGCTCCCCAGCTGGCTGAGCCCTACGACACCTTTGTGTGCGATTCTGCAGCCCCTGGCCAGGTGAGCAGCTGAGGCAGAGGGATTGGGACTCCAAGGCCTCCAGCAGCCCACGCCATACAAGGCCTCTCTTCTTCCTCCCAGCTGATTCAGGTCATCCGGGCCCTGGACAGAGATGAAGTCGGCAACAGCAGCCGTGTCTCCTTTCAAGGTCCTCTGGGCCCCGATGCCAACTTTACTGTCCGGGACAACCGAGGTGGGTGGCCTCTTACAGCCATTCCCATGCCTGCCTTCCTCCTCCTGTCCTCCATCCACTATCCCCGGTCCAGCCTGTGTGACCCCTGCCCTGCCCATCTGAGCCTTCTGCCCAACAGAAGGTAGGTAGGTGTGGGTTCACACTCACCTGCTGGCTCCTTGCAAACCTTCCCCATGGAAAGCTGGCTCTGTGGGCTAGACCAGCTCTACAGGAAGGTGTCCCAAGAGGTGCCTCAACACCGTTCCTCTCCCACAGATGGCTCTGCCAGCCTGCTGCTGCCCTCCCGCCCTGCTCCCCCCCGCCAAGCCCCCTACCTGGTTCCCATTGATATGTGGGACTGGGGGCAGCCGGCTCTGAGAAGCACTGCCACCGTGACCGTCAGTGTGTGCCGCTGCCGGCCCGATGGCTCCGTGGCATCCTGCTGGCCCGAGGCTCAGCTCTCAGCCACCGGGCTCAGCACCGGCGCCCTGCTGGCCATCGTCACCTGTGTGGGCGCCCTGCTTGGTGAGTCTGGCCATGGTGGGACATAGATGGGTGTGGAGAAGAACCAGGCCCCTGGACATGAGGAAAGCCACCCTAGGACTGGAGGATTTCCTGCCTGGATCTTGCCACCATCTGATGTATCCAAGAGAAAAGCTCTGGCCTCATATCCCTGACCTGCCAATCCATAATGACTGTCACAAGCCATAGAAGTTATTGAGCCCCTATTCTGTGCCAAGTATGGTGCCGGGCACATCACTTGTAGTATTTCCTTTTAGCCAGTCAACAGCTGTAAGAGGCCAACACGCTTTCCCCGTTTTCCACACAAGTACACTAAGGGTTCGGAGAAGCTAAGCGCCTCCCCACGGCCACACAGCGAGTAACAGTAACGGGTGGAATCGGGATTCAAAGCAAGGTCGGCCAGATGTCACACCTAGGGCTCGAACCCCTGGGCCACGCTGCCTCCTCTCTCACCCGCGGGTCCGCCACCCGGAGACAGGCCGCCCTGTCCCGCCCGGCCGCTCAGCGGCGTGTGGCCTGTCTCGCGCAGCCCTGGTGGTGCTCTTCGCGGCGCTGCGGCGGCAGAAGCAGGAAGCGCTGATGGTGCTGGAGGAGGAGGACGTGCGCGAGAACATCATCACCTACGACGACGAGGGCGGCGGCGAGGAGGACACCGAGGCCTTCGACATCGCGGCGCTGCAGAACCCCGACGGCG